CTAAAAAAAAATACATATATGATTAATAATTGAAGTCATTATACACTATTCTATCTCGATACCTTATTCTTTGGTTTTTAATAAATTCTTGGTTTGTTTCCCCTGTATAACATAATATTAGTTTTTTTATAATTAGATGGATAATTATATAACTTAGTATTAAAGCGCATATATATTCCATACTGATGAATCATATTATTTGAAATAATATAATTATTTTCATTTTGTTTCTCTATTTCTGTTACTACATAATCTAATTTATTGGTAGATTCTTTAAGATTTTTGAGATTTGGCATTTTTAATTTTGATAAGTTATAAGATATTTTTGATGATTGGATTATTTTGATTTTATTTGTTAGCTGTCCAAATTTACAAGGTTAAATCTGGATAATAATCTGTAAACACTGTTCCGTTCGTYTCTTTTAGTGGTGTTAGTATTGTGGATGATGTGTATACTGTGCAGTCTTTAGGTATTTTTAAAATCATTTGTAACAATCGTTACAATAGTATACTAATGTTATGTGGATTGGCTCACTGAAACTGTCATAATTGGAACCATTGTCACCGAAATCAAATTTTCCGAATTCTAATTCGCTGACATCGAAATTCGTCGACCGTCGATTTTACCACTGGAAATTACTAATTCTCATATTGTCGAACTCCCAATTCGTTGACAAATCTTCCATCTAGTAGAAAATTATCAACCATATTAATACAGTTATTAATAATAATAACTTATTATTATAACATATAAAGTATTTGCATTATATTAGTCATGCAATTCGTAAATATTAAAAAAAAGTATACAAATTTATATGATCGTATTTTATTTTATAGGATTATAATAATATTATATTCATTTTCTGTATTTAATGTTATTTTGTTATTTTGTCATCAAATTTACTTATTATACCATGTATAGATTGTAAATTTACTATTTTTAATAATAATAAAAAAAAAAAATGATTATAATATCAATGACATTTATACTTAATTTAAGTGTAAAAATTATGTATTTCATAATATTTTACTTATTTATTGAATTTACTACACGTCTATAAGTGGCTCATCAAGTTTTAATTAATATTATTGTCATTTGTTGGTGAATTGAATTGGAAATATTGTTTTTAAGACTTGTTTATCTTTCGATTAACTGAAACGTCGGCCAATCGGGTAGGTATGAACCGTTAAAGGTAGTGTCTGATCAATTTCGCTTTTGCTTGATGTCTTCGTGATTAGCTAAAACAGTTTGTATTCAAAGTCATGAAGTCGTTATTATACAAAATTATAAGAAATTAATGTATAAAACAAATTATAAWTATAATTATACCAAATATATTAAATGGATTAGAGAAAATAGAAACTACAAACCAAATCGTACCCTCTTTCAACTTCACTCATAACCTTCTCTTCAAAAATATAAAACATGATTTAATATAAAGTTAAGTATTCTTTAATCTTTATTAAATATGATATCGGTTTCATCAACGAAGAGTCTTCAWTGTTTTTCTGCATAAAATMTGTTTCAAAACTTTAGACAAATTTGTGAATTATTTATTTTCCATTGAAAAACACATTCCTTGCGTAGAAAATATATCTACTTTAAGACGAGTTAAAAGATTCTAGATTCTGAGTGGAACGATGAATGTATTTATTTTACAATGCTTTATTTTTTAAATTTATTCTTTTGTGTCTCTTATTATTAGAGCTTTGAAGTWATAAGAGCTAAAAAATACGCAAAATAACCGMAAAATATAGCTTAAGAAAGGATGAGATCAATTTTTTTCTAAATATAATAGAATACCTCTAATAAGTAATATGTATGTTATGAAAATCAAAAAATTTACATTTAAAATTGCTCTAAAATTGATGAAATATACAAAATATGCATTATAAATTATCGAGTTTTTAAGCTCACCATTGTATAACTTGGATTATCTACTATGATCAAAGCATATAGAATAATATGCAACTCATATAACTTCTGAACCCTAGTTGTTACTTTTTGAGACAGAGTAAAAATGCTTTAATTTTTCACCTCAGCATATTTTCTGATAGGAAATTGAATGTAGTTAGTTTTTAAGATGTGGGAAAAATTCACAAAAGAAAAAAATTCACCGAAAAGCAAAAAAAAATTGAAGAAAATTCAATTGTTCCGTTCCACTGGAATGGGGTTTCAATTTTTAAAGCATTATTTTATGAGGCCCATAAATCAGATTCAAATTTTTTCCGAGTTTATTAATTATTTTTATAATTATATATGCGATGATAAATGAATAATATTTTGACAAATCCTAAACCCTAAGGACTATTGTAATTTTCAACTATATAGATCATTTTAGATCATATACCTACGTGGATTTACTTAATGAATTGCGTTACTWTACTGTAATAATATAAAAGTGTTTGTTAATAACATAATATATTATGAATAAACTACGGATTCACCAGTGAAACTTATGTTTCTGTTGGTTTTTGGCGTTTTTCCCGATGTACTTATTTTTACGGCATCACAACGACACTTTATTTGAAGAAATGCAAACTTTGTTACATATTTTATGTTTGTTCTACTCAAAACTGCACGCAATATTCTACAAAAGTAAGGACAAAGAAGACACATAATAGTAATAATATGTTCAATATACTTTAGATAACAGTAACTTATAAACTTGATATTAGTTTACATTATAATATGGTTGACATTTAAGACACTTAAATTTCATAAAATGTATATAAATGAGTCCTAACACTTGACATGACGAATAGAAAATGCCTCCATACATTGAGTTTACCGGCTAGTTGAAAAATATATWWCTATAGTTTATACGGTTTTTATTTTTGAAAATAACATTTTGTCAGCTGTCTAAATGTAATGTGAAATAATTGTTAACATTTAGTAAGCTTTTTGTTGTGTGGTGAAAAATTGACCTCTAGGGATAACGGTAGAAACATTCAATTACTTTTTTCAAGGGATGATTAATGGTGTTGCTAGTTTTCTTTGACTGTTCATAATGCTACCGTGTCATAGCAATCACATGAGCGCTTATCTGTTAACTATAGTGAATTATCTTGATTTTCCTAAACTATAATAAGACAGTTATACTTAAATAACTTTTGTAATCATTAATTACTCATCATTGAATGGTTAATTAAGTTAATATCGATTCTGAACAGCGATAATTGAAACTTAAGTTATTAAGAATCAATCTATGCTCTATATAATGCTTATGTGCAACTGTATTTATATATATAAATAATTAATAATAATAAATAATTTATTATTATAAACTACTAAAAATATTTTTATTATTTAAAATAAAAATAAAAATTTATTATAAATTAAAAATAAATATTATTGATAGGTAGTCAAAATAATAACCCACTTAGACCGTCTGAATMGTATTAACTGTATTAACTATACTATAACATTATAATAATATAGTGTCAATTTTTATCGAAAACTTTTCTCAGAAATTTTTGATTATATTAATACAAAAATTTAAGTTTCCATGATTAGATCAATCACCGTTATGATTTAGTTCAGGAATTTAAAAATTATGTATATAAAAAAAATAATAAGTGTTCTCAAAATAGCTGTTGACATGTTCGCTTTAACAAATTTTCTAAATAAAAGAAAAAAACCAGTTCAGAAATATACTATAAATTAGTAGATTTAGTAATTTGATGTAGGGAGAGGGAACTCTTTTGTTGATTGGGTAAAAGTGGTGTCTTAAAAGTTATAAATTWACGCATTCGAAAATTGATTTTTAACTGAGTTTGATGAAGTTTTTCCCATAGGTTTTGATGATCTATGTACTTTTTATTTTATCAAAGTCTAAGTGAAATTCCTGAAAAATTTGAAAATTATCATTTGAAAGTTGTGTATGCAACCATTAACTAGATTAAAATAATTAATTATTGATAACGGTTCAAGGAATATCATAAGTTTTCAAAACGTTATTTGAACATCTTAGTATATTAAGTATGTTTCCCAAGAATCAATTTCAAATATRTTGATTTATCATTACTAATTTATTTGAAATTTTAAGAAATATAATATATTATTATACTGCCCTGAGATGAGTTATACGTGTGTCAACTKTAGTGCCAAATTATATGGTTTCTAAATAATCGCTATTATTATCTATAATACTATGCCTCGTGGTCCAGTGACGTAGTGAACTAGATTTTGAGTTTTCAATCTTAATTATATTTTCCCCTTTATGGATTTTAATAAAATCATATGTATATACTTCTAAAACGAATCGCCAACCAAAAAAAAAAAGTGTGCATCAGTAAAATATATTAATTTAAATATTTTAAGTAAGTACGTAAGTACCTATTACTTTTGCTGCTGATGACTATTTGTGCGTACCTAARAATGTGACTTGATTTCAGACCATTTTTTAATCTATGCATTAAATATAGAGTTTGATAACCTAACTTATAGCAAAATAGTAATACCACAGCGAGCTGTTATCGAGGAACATCATTAGAGGTTTATTATTTATCAATATATATTATCATAATATCAACATGTTATCTACATTATGCATTTGACGTGTTCCGTTTACCATACTATAACGTAGACATAGAGTGCCATTAACCTTCATCCATATTCCATTGATATGGTGTTGACGAACAAACAGTCAAATCATCTGCGCTTGACTGCTGTTSTACACCTAATGAGAGTATATAATTCGTATAGGTAATAGATATACGATACCAATAACATTTCTAATTGACAGCTAAAATACGCAGTGGTGGTTTTCTTAGCCTATTGTAACTTTGTATATTATGTAGTAGTTTTCATTATTATTTTTTGTATTCATTATCATTATTGCTGCACGTGCCGTGGTAGGTATCGTAAATTCAAATCACACAGTTTATGGTTACGACGTAAACTATTGTACTCAGTTTATTGTAAGGTACAAATGAAGATAAACAATTATCTCTCAGAAAGGTTTCTAAGCTATTGTTAACAAAATCAGACGAAAAAAATGTTATACATCATACAAGTTTATGAAGAGCTTTGTAATCTTTATTTGAAAACGAATGTGGTTAATTCTAACTTCTTAATATCGAAATTTTTCCTCGGCCCCTAATCCTAATTTTATACGTTCGTTTTTTGAATAACTCGAATTCTTGGATAACTTCAACTTTTTTGTCGATCCCTTCAACTTCGAGTTAAACAATTTGGCTGTAAAACGTTKTATTTTGTATTAATTAATCTAATAATTTTTTCCAGGGCGATGTCAGATTCTATAGCTATATCAAAAACAGCCAGGTCGCACATTGTACTCAATACATCGTAGTTTGTATTAAGTTAAATTAACAAACTTGGTTTAACTTTGAAACTTAAAAGTTAGAAATCATACACTTTGCGTGGTCGGAAATTCATCTAAGATGGATTGCCTACCTGATAAATGATAGTATATTAATCGCATAATCATAGGGGAGCCTTACGGGCATTGGCGGGTGGGTTGGACATAATATAAAATAATCAAATGTGTCCAGACTGACTCAGTGATAGATCAACTTAGAGCCTAAACAATGATAAATTGAAGCTTGAACTGTCTAAGTATGCACTAAGAAATTATTTTCCAAAATTCAACTTGAGAGTTGTGCTTGCACAAGTATTTTAAAATTCATGATGGCTGATGAAAATTTTTAAGTTTTGAACACCATTACACCGAATAAAGAACTGAACAAAATTTGAATCATATATACACTGTTCAAGTTGAGAAACGTACTTGGCGGCCGACTTGTAGCATGCCAATACTACACAGATAATTTACGGGATGAGGTGACTAATGAGTGTTGCCTAACCACAGGCTGACAAAAACTGAAAGCCACCGAATATGTCTCTCAACTTGAACAAAGAACATAATTGGGATTTTTAACGAGCAGCGAAATTCCCGGGATCAGGTAGTTGATTACATATTTTGACACTTCAAATTCAAATTATTATTTATTAGGACTATTTCACCACATTGAAAAATAACATTTGTTTAACGCGAAAATATATTCTACATTTCTATAACGCATAGAAGTAAATCGTATTAAACAATGTTAACCTACGAAGTCATAAAACTTGTATACAATTTAATATAACAATAACGGAATAAAATTATRTATTAGGTATACGGTAAAATGTACAACTATCTTACAATTATTAAATAAATACTATTTATTTTAAAACATTTATAAAATCAAAAAATTGACTCATTCTTGACATT